GGGAAGTCTTAATGCCGGCAAAAAAAGTGGGTGGATGGGTGGAGGAGTGGAGGCCAGCTGTATCGGTGGGCGGGGCTTGACCAAAGTGGGCGGAGTTTGCGACGAAAATTCATAACTCGGCTCCAAGAAGTCCCGGAGGCCGGGAAAAAGGTGGATGGAGGGTTGTTAGTGACCGGATTTGAATACACCAGTTGGCGCCGCACGCATTGCGCGCACAACACAGATCTGCGGCGAATTTTGATGGTGCGACGAAAATTTTCAAATTTGGCTTGATACACCACGAATATCTGAATTCTCAGCTAAATTCTATCCGCTCCATCATCGACGGCTTTCAACCTCTTTTTCTTCGTCAACCATTATCCTCTTTTTCCCGGTCTCCGGACTGCTTCCGGACAATAAATCTCGTGGCAAACTCCGCCTACTTCGGTGCGTGCCCCGCCCACCAATAGCATTTGGCCCCCTTCCTTTCGCCGACCTCTACCCCCTTTTTCCCGGTCTCTGGGACTTCTTGGAACCGAATTACGACACTTTTGGCAAACTCCGCCCACTTTGGTCAAGCCCCGCCCACCGATGACAGCTGGCCTCCACTCCTCCACCCACCTCCATCCACCGGCCTCCGGGACTTCTTGGAGCCGAGTTATGAATTTTCGTCGCAAACTCCGCCCACTTTGGTCAAGCCCCGCCCACCGATGACAGCTGGCCTCCACTCCTCCACCCACCTCTATCCACCTTTTTCCGGCTCATTAAGACTTCCCCGGCCCGAATTATGAGGACTTGTAGAAAATGCTGTACACTTCAGAGCGCGCTCCGCCCATTGTGGGCGGGCCTCCGCCCACGTCATGTATGCTGGGAACACCTTAGACATTGCTCCCCTACACCAATTTGTTTTCTGCTCTGTAGGCTTTCTCCCAACCGAGTTATGAAATTTTTCATAAAGCACTGCTTTTTTGGAGAACGCCCCGCCCACCGGGGTGGGTCTCCCTAATTCGATGTGACTTACCAATGCACACCTTTACCCACTTTTTGGCCCAGTTTCGAGGTGTTTTGTCACTGAATTGAAATCTTGGTCGTCAGTACATTCATTTCGACGCACGCCACGCCCACTGTGGGCGGGGCTCCGCTTAGCTGATGTGTGTTTTGTACTTCGTGAGACCTTGCCCACCCATCCCACACTTGACCCGGTCCCTCCAGGCGGATCCCGAGGAGCTAGGGAATTTCGTGACAGACATACAGAACGACAGACAGACGATAGACAGAACGACAGACGAAGCGCTTTATAGTTAGTAGGATTGCCCTGTTCATAAACTGACGTGGCTTCCCAGATCTAGCTCATTCAGAAATACTTCCTTACCCGCTACTGTTCAGATGGTGCTGCACATCACGGTTCTTCGGCTTTAAAAGTTTTTGGGAGTAGGGTGTCGCAATACTTGCCGTTGCGAATTCATGATAGTTCACTATGAATGGGCTTCATCATTCCGATGAGCCTCTTCGTTGAGGCGCTTTATGGTGCCCCGAGGTCGACATATGAATCGGTACATAAAACTTGTAAAAAAAAACTCAAAAATCGAAGAAGTTTTTCGTGTCTGGTTTCCATTCCTAACTACGGTTTTGAGTGGAAGTAGAATGTGCGGCCCACTCCAAAATGGGATTGATCAACACCAAATGTTCCATCTCTTTTATTCTTATTTGCTTTCACTTTCAGCGGCGGTCAATTGATCGTACTGTCTGCTTTGCTAGAGCGTGTTCCAAAACGACCTGCCCACTTTGTCATAGAAGTATGTGATCCTAGA